ACCGACATAAAATCTTTAGATCTGAAAAATTTAGTCGCTGGTTTCGTAATTTTTATGAATAACCATGGCACAATATAGAAATCAAAGGGATTATAATTCCATTAATATTTCTCATTTTTCCAATCAAAATATACTTATTTTTTACTCGATTTATGCAATGGCATTAGAAAGTATGTGTCCTTTAGATTGATTAAACCCATAAAGCCGTTTTCAGAAACTAGCGTGGCTGCTAATCTAAACTTGTTCAATTTTTTAAAATTTAATATTAATCTCTACTTCTCATTAGATTTCGCAACCAAAAAATAAGTTGAAACGAATTGTGTGTGTTATTTTTGAACTCATGAAACTGTGCCTAGAGTAATTAAATTGGCTATAGTATCTAACATCAAAGAAACGTCTCTCTTATTGAAACAATTCTGATTAGGAATTCTTTTTTGAAAAGATTCTGACTCAAACATTATTTTATATTCTTTTATATATATAAGAAATCACTTGTTAAGGTCAACCAGGCACTTTTGAATTATTTCAATTGACTTACTATGCGACTTACTACAACTACTTCTTCTGACAATGTATTGGGCGCCTATTGAGTCTGGATGTTCTCCGGCCGAATACCCTGACAGTTCGCCTTCGTATTTCCGTAATAGGTTGAGTTTCTTTAGAAGTTGAAATTTCTGCAACTCGCCTGGTCTCGAGCGCGTGCAGGCGGATCTCACAAGTTTAACAACAATGTAGCTTGAAATGTCGGTCTTTTCTCCACCACAAGAGGCTTTATTGGAAATTCAAGCTTTTCTGTTGCCTTGACGGATTTTATCTTCTGCGATAGATCAGGACCAAACAAAAATTCCCAATGTTGCATTTTTTTTAAGATTTGTCTCGCCTTTATTGATGAACGGATATAAAAGTGCTTTTCTTACTTTAATCAATTAGTTGTGTAACTCACACATGAATTTCCATAGTCAACTAGTTTTGTTAATGTGGTTTTTGTATCGATACCTTCTACCATACTGTTAAAAATTATTAAGATGCTTGAACCTAAGACTGATAAGCTGGCTTATCAAGCACAAATCAAAATCAGAAACAGAAAATTTGTTTCTTTTTTTTGCTTGTTTCGTTGATGTTTGTTTCTATCTCGAAATTCAACTTTGATGTCAGGAATGAGCAATTTTCAACTCTCAGATATTTATCCAAGAGCGCTATCTTTTTCTCTTCCTTCAAACCTTCTGATAATATTTTCTGCCATGTTCTATATAATTTAGAATGCCACGTATATCGTTTGCCTTTATCCACTTCGTCGTCATTACTCAGAAGCTTTAATGTTTCCTCGTCTAATTCGACGAAATCTAACGCTATAATGTCTTTTCTAGATTCTTTGTGCTATTTTAACTATTCGATGTAATAGTCTCTTGACGATCTGTCTTGATCACTTCATGTCGTCGGCTTCCACTTCGCCTGAATTTAGTAGAGTGAATATATCTAGGTTATGAACCCAACCCCAGTAAAGATGTACGACATATTTTGCTTAACGTACAAAACCATTGCCTGAAATACGACCTATCTCACCTCTCGTGTGAGCTTTTTACCAAACAAAAAAACCCAACTTACCTCTTGAGTAATCGCTCTCAAAAGTCATTGTTTTATCGTTGCCATTATCATCCTCCTTCTTTACTTTCTTATTAATATAATTTTTAATCATTTCCATTAAGACTTTTATATCCCCCAACAAGAGTGAATGCGCTTCTTTCTTGTGCATGTCTTAATTTTTTCTTTATCTTTAATTTCTCCCCATGTGCTTTGATGTGGTACGTACATGCATGAAAAGCATTATGACAAGCGTGAGCTAGAGCAAACACTAGCGAATCGTCATGGATTCGAAAAATTATGAGGCTGAAGTTTGTGGTGACATCTGCGTAACTAACAGTACTACTCAGTGATTGGAGAACGAAACGCAAGTCATAATTAATTTATACAATGTGGATTTCATAATTTTAATGGAACTATAAAAATATCACTCAATAAATCTACGCAAAATATTTTCATGCATCAAATCTAAACTTATCGACAACAATGTAAAATTCTTTATATTCTTTATATAATAAAATCTTATATTTAATATTACTATGAGTAATTACTATGAGAGTTTAATATTACTATGAGTAACATTTTAAGTTATAGATCATATTGAAATTAATATTACTACGTAACAATGAGTAGGCTATACAATTTGTTTATATTCAGTGAATGTTAATAAAGCTACTAATATTAAAATATCAATTAGACTAATAAAAAAATCGATTAGACTAATAAAAAATATTATTTGTTTATTTCTTATTTATTCAAATGAGAGAAATAAGCATCAAATGTATGTTCCAGCTACGGATAACAGCAAAGTCATTAAGTATAAGTACTACATCTGTGGGTTTCCAGGCTCTGTTAATGACATTGGCGAGATTGATAAAAATATACTTCCCTTCTCTTAGATAACATTCGACAAAAAAAAGAAAAAACTCAAAGTACCATATCCACATTCTCCTTACACGAAATCTATTTTCAAAGAGCTACAAGAAAATGTTAAATTGATTTGCAATTTAAATAAAAATGGGGGTTTGTAGGAAATCAAACGGAAAGGAGGTGCAAGTAAAAATATTATAAATCTAATAGGCAAGATATCTTTATTTTTATTGATTCATTAAGTGCGCTTCAATGTCTCGAATCCAAAAATGATAATATAAAAAATACATAAAAGTCCATCCATACATATATTTCAAATAAAAAAGAAATATCAGATGTTTAATGTGCTTAATAGGGACTACAATATTTATTTTCTCTGAATCCTGTCATATGTGGGAATAGAAGGTAACGAATCAACAGAGTAGAACTTGCTATCGAAAAAGCTTATATTACAATTCTAAAAGTGCTGTCCACAGATATGTTCAAAATATTAAAGAAATCGACATCCGAAAGTATCTTAGAAATCATCGTAAACGAAGGTAAATCTTAAGGTAACTGTACTTCGAATTATTTCAATTTACTAACATTTGGTTCTAGTAAAAACATTTCGAGAGAACTCATAGTTTCAATAAATTTTTATACAATACGATTGTAGGCAGTAGGCCGAAAATTTAAATGATGTACTGTAGCCGTGCGTACTGTATGATAAACAAAGAGAACTACTGTCTAAAAAGTTATGTAAACTGCGATTATACCGTCCATTGAACATAAAAATGTTAATCGCAGAGCCACACATCGAAGCATGCAAATGTATAATATACTTTTTAAAACAATGTAATCTAAAAATTTTATATAAGATATTAGTATATTGTAAATTTCTAAAGCAGAAATAAACCTATCATTGTAAAGTTTGAAATGCTATAATAAAAAAAACTAATTGTCTTACTCGTACTCACGCACGCTTACTCAATCCCACTTACGCTCTCTTACTAGTCATCTCATTTGTACTTACACGCTCTCACACTTTGTTAGTCTCATTTACGCAATTCGACGCTCGAGTCCTATTATGGCTCGCGCTCTGCTCACGCGTCAGAGTGAGTTTTAGTCTACACTTTGTTCATAATTTACTTATGTAAAAATTTACACGAAGCTATCACTTTGTATAAAAACAGATCCATTATCGGTATTTGCGTTCATATGGTAACGAGGAGGTATAATATTTATGTAGTGAAGTTTGGTAAGCCGTCCCGGTACACCAGTACCCGGTATCATCAATAGATGTTGTAATTATCCTAGCAGAAACTTAACAACAGTATATATATATTTCGATGGATTTGTGGTGGCACCACCTCAAGGTGCACAGCCAGCACCAGATGGCGCCACGTTTCTATCTCCACAGGCAGAAAAGCAAGGAAACAAATTCTTGTTCCGAGGCTGGTCTTCAGCATTTTTGGAGCACAAGAACCAAATCAACGACTCACTCACCTCGTTGGATCCGAACTGGCAACAATTCCGGCTTGACGGGCAGGAGTTCATTCGCACGCTTGTGAGCCTTTTAGTAATTAGGCGTACAAAGCCTATCAGTGTAAATAACGCTATTAACTTTCATTTATATATTAATTATTCAGAGTGCCTACGCTGTCTTTATTTGCGCCCCAGAAACATCTGCGAAATGCTCGAGAGCCGGTAGAGTGCACATGCCGACACTCCGCGAGGCTTGCTGCAAGAACAAATCTGCACAGATTGACTCAACACATTTTATCCGAGCTCTTTACATTTAACAAGAATTTTGGACTCCGACCAATTTGTTAATTGAAGAAAAAAGCGATTGCTTTAAAAAACTTGGATGTAAAATTATATGAACTATAATCGTGATAAGCGTTAATCAGTCTCTTTCTCGGGCTTGCTCGGTTTTATATAACTTTTTCTGGAGTTACGGACATCTAGCCCCTATTTGATAGGTAGCAATTTACCAAACTGCCAATATGGCAAAACAAAAATGACGTTGACCAACAAGAATTCCTAAAAAATAATACCTAATATTAACAGAATGAGAAATATCAGTGAAGCCCCTTAAAATGATTAAAAGTAAAGCGAGTTCTACGAGTCGAATGTGATGTTCGATGCTGATGTCGTCACGACAGCATTTTGTTGTTATTTTGTTTTCTTAATAATTTTTACTAATTTTTTTATGTAACAGCCAATAAACAATACGCAACTTAAAGAAACATTATTTCCTTTCATTGATGACCCCGACTTTAACCCTTTGCGGCACACATTTTTGAAACAATAATCGTCATTTTGGTGCACTTTTCAGCCATTTTTTAAAAAATGGCGACTAAAAATCGATAATTTGATATAGTTATACATTCATTAACATATTAGAAGGATAAAATATTAAAAATCCCCGTGAGCAACGATTTATTAGAGCCCTTCATACATGAAAATCTTATTTCAAAAAGGTGGTAAGTATACTTACCACTATGCCGCAAAGGGTTAAATAAATATGAGTTTAAAAATTTATTAAGAGAAAAAATGATGTTTTTAAGAGGCTGCGAGGACACCAACATTCATACGCAGCTCGAACAGCTTCGCCTCGACAACGAGTGGCTCATTTAACAACTTACGCAACAACAGGAGCAACAGCAACAGCATCTATAGAACAATATCTAGTTGGCGGGAGGCAACGGAGAAGCTCCACTTCTTATCAACCTTGTACCGGCAGTTCATCGCGCTGTTGTCAAGCTACTGCAATTTTGGAACGACCGGCCTAGTATATTGTTCGCCCAAGCAGATTCGTAATTATTCATTTCCATTATCACAAATGATTTAATCCTTTGACTACTAAAGGCATATATATACGCCCTCACAAATCCATCAATTTATACAAAAAGCGTATATATACGTCCGCTATTTTTAATTTTTATGCCATTATTTTTTAAACTCTAAGAATGGCATCAAATTCCCGAGTACTGTTTTGATCACTGTCAGTGTTCACTAGTCGTAGCGACTGACGAGCGAAAAACGCATCGCCCATATAAATGAATTCGTCCGAGAGCGCGTCGCAGTCAAAGGATTAACCGAGTTTTATTACGTTGTATCGCAACTAGAGACTCACGTAGCTATGAATATCGAGGGTATTGTCAACAATCCTCATGTCGAAAATCTGTACACTCTTTTGTGCACGAAACTTATAGAATGGTTACACAGGCCAAAAGCTTTTAGACCCAGAGACCAGACATAGTATATTCGAAGGAATTTAATACGCTAAATCCGAATCTGGCCTCAGAATTGATCCATCACCCTCAGTTTATGAGATATCCTAACCTAAAAGTGCAAAAGAGACTGTTTTTCGCTGTTTTTGAACTCTTCTCTCGTCGCTAATTTTTATTTTAGTCAAAAACTGAAAAGAGCATTCAAAAGGGCAAGATGTCAACTTTAAAAAACACTGCCTGATTTTATTCAACTGAAATTTTTGTTGAAAGTTTTCAATGGTACTATAAACTACATAAAAAATGTTCTAAGGTGTGCAAAAATAGATTAATAATTTATATATATGAGGGTGGTCCGATAAGTACTTAGCCTACAAAAGAAAAACGAAAATTTTGGAAAAGTGGCGTTTTATTTTTCAACATAGTCTCCTTTTAGTTCGATACACTTGGCCCATCGATGCTCCAACTTCTTTAACCCGTCTGAAAAATACGTTTCCTCGAGGTCTGAAAAGTAGGCTTCCGTGGCAGCGATTACCTCCTCATTCGACTCAAATTTCTGCCCGGCGAGTGACTTTTTCAAGATTGGAAACAAAAAGAAGTCGCACAGGGCTAAATCTGGAGAATACGGTGGATGGGGCAGCAGTTCGTAGCCTAATTCGACCAATTTGGCCATAGCGACGGCGGAGGTGTGAGCCGGTGCGTTGTCATGGTGGAAGAGCATTTTTTCTTCGCCAAATGGGGCCGTTTTTTCTGCAATTCGACGTCGAATCGGCCCAATAATTCGGCATAGTACAGCCCTGTGACCGTTTTGCCCCTCTCCAGGTAGTCGATGTAGATCACACCTTGTGAATCACAGAAAACGGTGGCCATCACCTTTCTGGCTGTTGGGGCAGTCTTCGCCTTCTTCGAAGCACTTTCGCCGGGTAAAGTCCACTGTTTCGACTGTTCCTTGGTCTCTGGTGTATACCAATGGATCCATGTTTCGTCGGCGGTCACGAAACGACGCAGAAACTCCTTCGGATTGCATTTAAACAGCGTCAGACACTGCTCTGAAGTTGTCTCACGCTTGCGCTTGTTGTCCGAAGTGAGCAAACGCGGCACCCATCGCGCCGACAGCTTTCTCATGCCCAAAATTTCATGCAGGATATGACCTACGTGGTCTTTTAATATGCTTACGATCTCAGCTATCTCGCGCACCTTCAATCGTCGATGTGCCAGTACTAGATCGTGAATTTTTGTGACGTTATCCTCCGTCGTAGCCGTTTTCGGAGCACCTGGGCTTGGCTCATCAAAAACCACGTTGAAACTCGTTAAACCAATTTTTGACGGTCGCCATCGAAGGAAAAGAGTCACCATACACAGCATCCAACCGCTTTTTGATTTTGTTGCGCGATTTCCCTTTTAAAAGCAAGAATCGAATCACCGACCGATACTGCTCTTTTTCCATTTTTCTAACACGCTCGCTTCCACACGCGGTCACAACAGAACTATTAGTCCGACTCGGCGGAAATTTTGACAGTAACCATCGACAAGGTTGTACTACATGGTAGTATATTTCTCTTACGAGAGTGGCGCCATCGGGCGGTGAGGCTAAGTACTTATCGGACCACCCTCGTAGATGGTTACACAGTCTTTTCTAAAATTGATCTCATTAAGGCTTACAATCAGATTTCTATTTACAAAGATAACATTTATAAAACAGTCATTACTACACTTTTCGGTCTTTTTGAATTTCCTTTTATGACATTTGGTCTTTGGAATGCAGGTCAACCTTTCAATACTTCGTGAATAAAGTTTTATTCGGTTTTGATTTTGTTTACGTTTATATTTACAATATTTTCGTTTTCTCTCGTTCCGTTGAAGAGTAGAAACATCATCTTCGAATTTTATTTGAATGTCTTACTCATTTCGGTATCGTTATGAATGCATCAAAATGTACCTTTGGCGTCTCTGTATTAGATTTTATAGGTTACTTTATATCTCCTAACGGCATTCAAGCTCCTTAAGAGTTTATCATAGCCATTCAAGATTTTTCTCTTCCCCAAAATACGGAAGACATGTCGTTTTCTTGGCATGATGGATATCATCGATTCATTCCCCATACATCTGAATTTGAACTACCTCTTTACGAAGCCATCAATACGTTTATACTCAAGGGCTAGCAAAAATTATTATGCACTGAACATCTCAAAAAAGCTTTCCAAGCTTGCAAACATTGTCTTTCTTCCGTTACTCTTTTAGTCTATTCTCGAGACGGTGTACCTATATCGGTTTATTTACTGATGTTACAAATTTTGCTATCGATGGATGTCTTCTACAATTCGTTGATGATTCTTGACTGTAACGGGGGCAGCGCCTTATTCGGCACTGACGTCACTAATTTATTAAGGGGAGAGTAAGAGAGGCACTTTCGCTCTTTAACAATCGGGGAACGAGAGGATAGGTCGAACGAATAAATAATTTTCTTTACTTGGAACATACAACTTAAATCTATTCAGACAAACAAATACAAAATCAGTTACAATAACGTTTACATCACGCGCACATATACAGAACAACTTAAACTAACGCGGGAGGACGAATGGCCCGGCGACTAAATCGCCTTGGCCATTTACCTCCTTACAAAGGAAAGAATACGTCGAAACCTCTCTACCGCATTACGATGAGCGTAGCCGGCAAGTGATCGCCTGGCTACGTATCGTTCCTACGCGGCCGCGCATCACCATGAGAGAGAGAAATACCGGGAGAGAGAGATAACCTGACCTTTGTCCTTGGCGATGAGCCGGCAACGGGGAGTTGACCTGGCCGCTGGCTGGACGTCTTCCTCGGCGTAGCCCGTGGTGAACCCCCTGGAAGTCATGCCGTGCATGGCGGCGAGGGCGACACTGAATGCCCTGCTGCAGGTGTTGCCGCCACACGTTGCCTCGGCTCGCCCTGGTCTGGTCACCCCTGCACGTGTACTTCTTCTCTCATTGCGCTGCTACTTCCAACTTCTCTCCTTAACTTTCTTCCGGGAACTGCCTCACGCGACTTGACGCATGGTCAGCATTCGCGCTCTCGCCGGGCTCTCCCACCAAGCCCACTCATTAGGCGGCGTGCGACAAAAACGCTAATTGGTCGCGCGTCACACGCCGGCCCAAACCTGCATAGTGCGTGCATAGACGCGCACTCTAGCATGCTCGCTAACTTTCTCTCTCTCTCTCTCTCTCTCTCTCTCTCTCTCTCTCTCTCTCTCTCTCTCTCTCTCTCTCTACCTCATAGTCGCTGCGCTCTTGCTTCTTCGGGCGCTCTCAATCTTGCTCGGCAATCTTCGGCGGCTGGAAAAACATAAAGGCCAGTGGTTAGGCGCAATAAATATATGCGCCGAACGCTGACCACGTCGCCATGCCGAGTGATAAGAGGGAGAGAGAGAAGGAGGGCAGACGAGGAGCAAGCGTACTGCTTGCTCTCGTCACATGACAGTCCCTCGCGTTCTTCTCTAAGGAGCTAACTTCTAATCACGCAGAGTCACTGGCATATTATTGGGGACTTGTTGTTATTTACGAGTCTGTCTAATAAGTTCGTCACTTTCTCAAAGGCCATCATTTCACTATTTTCACCTATCACGAACCTCTCATTTTTGTTTTCCAACGAAAGCGTAATAACCCAATTAAGATGTTCAAAGAAATCAGGTTGCATTCATATCTGAATTCACTGCATTTTTTACGTAGGATATCTAATATATCAGCGGGGAAAAAAACATTGTTGCTGACACTCTCGTATTTATCATGAATATAAAGTGATTTTTAAACCTTTGTACTATGAAGCACTAGTAAAATTTCAAGAAAATGACAAGACTTCAAGACTTTCCTTGGTCAATCTTTCAACTTAAGAAGATTGAAATTTTTGGATCTCAAACAGGATCTCCACAGCTTCAATCATCTTGGCGTTAATACAACCATTAAACTCGTTAGCGATCTTTTTGTCTGGTCTTGAATACGAGTACACAAAAATTGTTGTAATTGGTTCGAGTTTGTTTGGATTGCCAACGCTCTAAGATTTCACGTCACGTGAAGTCGCCTTATGTTGTACATGTCGATCTTATTGGTCCTTTACCTTACTGTCACTCTTTCCGATACTACTTGATCGTTTTACTTAATGGCCAGAGGTGTACCCACCTGAGAGAATCGTAACAGAAATGATCGCCCAAGCATTTCTTAACTGTTGGATTTCTCGATTTGTCTGTCCTCAAATTGTGACATCCGACAGGAGCTCATAGTTCGTTTCTTTTTTATTTCATATTTTCAATGATTATTTCGGTATCAATTACAAACATATCACTAGTTAGCATCCATCAGCTAATGGGCAAATCGAGAGTCTACATAAACTTGCCAAAGCTGCTATCATGACTTATGCTGATATCGACTGGGTTGTAGCTCTTCCTCTTGTCCTCCCTGGCATTCGTTCTGCATTCAAAGCAGACTTAGGACCTTCTTTTGCTGAGCTTTTTTATTTGTTTGAAAACCTCTACGTCTCTCAAATAAGATGTTTTTATCCAACGTTCTGAAGATATTCCGACCTTTCTTACTTCTTTACGTGAAAACATG